TTAAAATCGTACGACTGAACTACGAATTGGCCACTAAACTGACAAAACGTAAAAAATACCTACATTTCCTTGTGAGATCAGCTCATTAGAGACTGAAAGACCTGTAACGGGTGTGACAGAAAAAAGGAGACATACAAAACATGCAGTGTTGGTGGTCCTCAGGGAACATGGTTGAGAAACACTGCTATAGAATACAGCAAATTTAAAAAGGCTTATGCTTATGTGAGTTGGTAATAATGCCATTATTGTTCAGACTAAAATGATTGCTCTTGGTATGAACAGGCCTTGAGTCACTTGTTAGCACAATACTGTTGGAATTATGTGTGCATAAAGATGAATTGAACATTCATGTCAAATTTAAATGTAATATCGCCACATTATTAATATAAAGAGTCTGTTGTTTTAGAGAGGTTTTGGTGTTTTTAGCTGCGCTTAGAGAGCTGATGTTCAGGAAAATGTCTATAAACTGGCTTACATATTACGTGTGCTATCTCGCCACATGGAAACTGTTTCACCTCACGCCAGAAGAGCACCTTAGCATCTAATCATGTGGTTAACGTCGACTTACATTTAACCAATCTACAACTCAAACGTGTTATTTCCCTGTCACAATGTTGTGGTCGATTGTCCAAAGTGATAATGCTGTTTCATAGAGCTGCAGATGTTGATGTATGTTTTGTATTAGAGTCTTTATTCCTTTACCACTGTATCCTCTGAATAAATACATTAAAACACAAGGATTTATCTGTCGGGGTGCTCCGAATGCTTTCTCAGAGAACACTGATAGTAAACAGCAATATAAGATTGTGTGGCAAGTTTTAGAGATGGACAACGTGAAGTTTAGTAGCAGATGTTGATTGTACACTAAAGGCTTCCAGATGGACCCAGTGTTTCCTCAACCATTTTGCTCATTGACTCCTGTCATTCATAATGCATTACGAGGCTCTGGCTTGCACTGATGTGGATATTCATCCCGCTCCTGTCTGTCTGCATGGTGGGCTCACAGAAAGCGTCCCGAACAGATGGCCTGTGCCATTGCTCTCCCCTTAATTAGCCGCTCATCCCTGAGCTCCGATTCTATTAAACCCTACCAGAGGAATGTGCATTTCAACTAGAGCTGACACGCATGGACATCCACACAAGTCTATCATGCTAACTACAGTGCTGAATTAATTTAAACTTTACTTCATTTTAAAGATGGAGAAGTGTCGTGATTACTGTTGAGAATATCTTCAGTTGATCAAGACTAAAAATAAGCTTCTAGCCCTTTTACATTAGTTCTTGTTTATCTGAATATCTTATTATTCTGCAACTCCAGTCTCAATATTTGTTCATTTTGTGATGTTGTAATATGAGTATTGCTGTTTCACTATATAGTTTGGTGATGTTCTACACTGTAAAAGGTGATCGATTACTTAAAAAGTGAGTAAACCTGTTGCCCTAAAAGTAACAAGTTGACTTTAAAAAATCCATTGTAACTTGGAACTGTTAAGTTGATTTAACTTAATTTTTATACTTATACATTTCATTTACTTAATTTTTTAGGTTTTACTGATTTTTTAGGGGTTTACTCATAAACAGTTAACTAATCATTTTTTACAGTGTACATGAGAGTTAATTTTCCTATCCCATTAATCAAACCAAAATGCATTAAAGTGACACGTATTAGCAAAGGTAATAATAGTTGGACAGAAAATAAAGAGGAAGGGTGAAAATGAGTAAACAATCAAGATAGATTAAATCAGGGGTGTCCAAACTACGGCCCGCGGGCCATCTGCGGCCCGCAATCAGTTTTGTGGCGGCCCGCGAGGCTTTTTATAAATATCAATAGCATCTGGCCCGCTATACAAAAATGAACGTAATTCAATAAATAACCACCGGGTTTCGCTATTACATGCATTTAATTAAGCAGCAGTTCTTGTTATGATCGATCGATCGATCGATCTATCTATCTATCTATCTATCTATCTATCTATCTATCTATCTATCTATCTATCTATCTATCTATCTATCTATCTATCTATCTATCTATCTATCTATCTATCTATCTATCTATCTATCTATCTATCTATCTATCTATCTATCTATCTATCTATCTATCTATCTATCTATCTATCTATCTATCTATCTATCTATCTATCTATCTATCTATCTATCTATCTATCTATCTATCTATCTATCTATCTATCTATCTATCTATCTATCTATCTATCTATCTATCTATCTATCTATCTATCTATCTATCTACACAGTTGAAGTCTGAATTATTTGCCCCTCTTTGATTTATTTCTTCTTTTTTAAATATTTCCCAAATAATGATGTTTAACAGAGCAAGGACATTTTCACAGTATGTCTGATAATTTTTTTTCTTCTGGAGAAAGACTTATTTGTTTTATTTTGGCTAGAATAAAAGCAGTTTTAAATTTTTTATGAACCATTTTAAGGTCAAAATTATTAGCCCCGTAAGTCTTCAGAACAAACCATTGTTGCCTAATTAACTTGCCTAATTACCTTAATTTGACTAGTTAACTTAACTAACCCATTGAAGCATTTAAATGTCACTTTAAGCTGTAGAGAAGTGTCTTGATAAATATCTAGTCAAATATTATTTACTATCGTCATGGCAAAGATAAAATAAATTAGTAATTAGAAATGAGTTACTAAAAGTAATATGTTTAGAAATGTGTGTGTGTGTGTGTAAATATATATATATATATATATATATATATATATATATATATATATATATATGCGTGTCTGTGTGATTTTTGTAAAATTTGGCCCGCGACAATGTTTTTTTTTTTGCATCTGGCCCTCGGCCCAAAAAGTTTGGACACCCCTGGATTAAATAAAAAAGCAGAACATTAATACACAACAAAACACCAGTTTGAATTAAAAAGATACGTTTACCACACTTTTTTATAAGAAGATGTTATGCTTCTGGGGGTGTTCGGGTGGTTCAGAATACCCACCTCTCACTGACAAAGGTCCAGAATTTGTCCCATACATGAGCTCATTTGTCTTATTTTAACTGCTAAGGCATCATAAATTGTGAAAATAACACATTGAAAGACCGGCTTTAAGACCAAGCAGAAGCCTTGGCTATCGTTTCGGTGAGACTTCAGCCAGTTTTGGCAAATACTAACAAATATTTTTTAATGAATCCAACATCCAGCTGTGCAAGAAAACACACAATCTGTTGTTACTGTATTGCCTTGAGAAACATTTTACAAGTAATTTTTATTCTAAATCTTGGACCTTAGGCCTACTCTTGAAACAAAAAATGACCAGTAAAAAAGTGTGAAGGCCCAAAAGCAGCCTGTATACTAAAACTGATTTGAATACTGTTATGGTGATTGTTATCTATGAATTTTCAAATGTACTTTTTTTAGATAGGCTACAAAAACTGTGAAGCTCTAAATTATTATTATTATGTTTATTTATTTATTTTTAATTCAAATGCCCAAATTCTGACTGAGGAAAGTTGAACGTGCTGGCCAGTTTGTTATTTGCCTATTAAATGACAATAGGCCACCGATTTTAAATTAAACTTTAACAGATTCCTATTTTTTTTTTTTTTTTACTTTTAATGATATAATATGATTTATTGAATTTTTTTTCATTCATTCATTCATTTTCGGCTTAAATCTCATAATGAAATGAGGCATATAACTGCAAAAAAAAAAAAAAAAAAAAAACGCAGCTTTTCACCAGGCTGGCTACAGGCCAGGCTTACATTTAAACCTACATGTTTTTAAAATGTTATACTGTTCAAGTCTATCAGACACTTTTTTTCTTCCAAAACAAAATAATTAATTTAAGTTGAATTAAAGCCAAATGCTGTACCAACACTAAAAAAAAATTTACTCAACTTAAAATTTTAAGACAACCCGCGTCAGGACATTTTTGAGTTTACTCAACTTAAATCAAGTCAAGTGCAGTACTTGGAAGTTGAGTCAACTCAAGAAAGCTCTGAAGCAAGTTGCCCTACAATCTTGAGTTGAGTCAATTTTTATTTACAGTGAATTAAAGTGTAAAAATAAATCTACTTGGATATAATTAATGTAGGAAGCCACATCAAAACATATGAAACAATCTGAGAAAACTTAAAGATTTTTGTTAATTAAAATGATCATTTTGTGCACATAAAATGTCCTTTATTGCATGTTAGTCTTATATGACTATATAAAGCTAGTGTAATATATGATTAAGGGCCACCAGAGCGCACTGTTATGGTGTAAAATCTTTTAGATAACTTTTTTATAAGGGTATCATTTTGTGTCAGCAGTTCTATGTAATACGCTTCTGTTTGGAGTCTTGAATATATTTTGAAGAAAGATGAAAACCTGTAATATTGACTTCCCCAATAAAGAAAACAAATGCAATGGAAGTCAATGGTTACCGGTTTCCAGCATTTTTCAACATCTTCTTTTGTGTTTTAACAGAAGAAAGAAACTCATAAAGGTTTGATATAAGGGTGAGGAAATGAAAGAATTCTTCATCAATTTTCATGTTTTGGGGCAAACTATCTCATACAGCGGTGGTTCCCAAAGTGGGGGCGATTTCCAAAAATCAAATTAATTTTATTAAACTATTAGAATTACCAGATTTTATCCATTACCTACTGAAGAACAAAACAGTAGCTAATAGTAACATTGTTAAAATGTTAATAAGACACATTTAAAAACAACATTCAAATATAAAGCATCAGCATTAATGTGCGACCCCTAGGAGCGAATACTTTATATTAAAGACACAACAATAGCGTCAGATGCAGCACATTGAGTTTATGGCGCCAGGTTAAACTCTACTGCATTCACGTACATTAAAAATAAATACAGGCCACAACTGAACATGGAGGATGGTCTCCGAATGGCATTCACCAAAAGTAAACCTACTGGTATGTGTTGTGTACAAGGTTTATATTTTTATAACCACCTCAGAGAAAAATGTAGGTCACGAGTCACTGGCATTGTTATGTTGGAGGTTGTGGGCTAAAAAGTTTGGGAACCCCCTTTCTTAATGAAGTACCCACTGAATATCAGAAAAAAGAAAGATGTCATTACAATATAGTACTAATTAGTATTTAATATTATATTATACAATATAATAGTCTGTTTTTTTTCCTTTTCTCTCAGACATTTACAGGACAGTTTGGCAGACTAAACTAAAGATTGGCCTACAACAAAACAAGCCTTTTGCCAGCTGAACCATTTGTCAGCTGGTTGTACTTTGATAGCTATACAATATTGCGACACAGTGTGATTATTGCAAAAGATATGCCATCTTAAAGGGTATTTCTTTAGGAAAATCATCTCACAAATCAGGTGTTTCCCTCTGTGACATCACTGACTGCTTTGACGTGCGTACACGTCAATTTTGTGATGGCATCGCCATCTTCCGGGCATTGTTTCACACGAAGTCATGATAATTACTTACCGCTAGGTGTCAGTAATGTTGCTCGCGTCTGAGGGAACAAAAACAATGGGGACATGTAGGTGGGCTATAACATCAACCGTTTCTCGGACAAAATAGCTGCTAAAATTAAGTGTACTTAGAGATTTGCAATACACACGTTTCGGCGCTAAGATGAATGTATTTGGATAGACATGTTACCGCTAATGCCTGCCATACACCGCTTCGCTCACTGGCCATCATGACCATTTATAGAAATGTCAACCTTTAAGCAAAGTCAGCCTTGCCTAAACTAGAATATAAGAAATAAACATCCGAGGCTCTTCCGTATTTGCGTCGCTGGCGATACCTGCATATTCATACTCATCATCATCACTGCTCATTTACATATTCAGTCTACTTTCGCTTCCTCATCGGGAGTTGATCAACTTGATCACTTTTTCTGTCACAAACATGACCAACAGCGTCGAAGATCCGTCGTCTGTCTCGCGAAAAGACGCGTTTGCTCAGTATTTACAGTACTACGAGAAAGTTTGCGGCGAAGGCGGTGTGAAAGCGTGTCCAGAGACGCAGGTGACAGATGAGGACAGACTCGCGCTGCTGTTTTCGGACGCGGAGCCGCGGAAGAGCCTTCACACGGGGGACTTCTATGAGCGCCTGTTCACGTGCGCGCAGCAGCGGGACGGCCAGAGGAGAGTAAACGACTTCAGGAGAGCCCTCGAGCTGCTCGAGATGTTCTGCGTCAACCTCTTTCTGTTCCCCTGGAAGAAAGAGATCAAAACACTGAAGGTAATTTAAAGACGGCTCTGGTAAGGTTACCCGGCCAGCTGATGACAGAAACTACCCAAAGCATGTTCAGATGGTTTGTTCTTCTTCTCTGGCCTCATAGCCTGCTTGTGCTGGACTGTTAACTGGTAGTTTTTCGAAGGGTATAGGGGGACTTATCTGCTGATAAGCAGGAGACAGAAAGTAGGCTAAAATACAGGGAATATCACAAAAATAAAAATACATGCCATTACAATATTACTTTAGTATTAAATGGGTCCCAGACAATTCATCTAATGTCTCAGACATTTATTAAACAATTTTTCTGGCTAAACTAAAGGTTGGCAAACATCAAGAGAGTGATCTTTCCCAGCTTCATTAGCCTGTTCATCGGCTGGTACATTGACAGTCTGCTTTGATAGCTATCATACTAAATGTTTACCATATACAGAACCATGTTCAGTACACTTAATTTTAAACCATGCTCAGCTAGTTTGTTCCTCTGTGGACTCTGCCTGCTTGTGCTGGTTTGTTTTCTAGTTTTTTTAAAAGGTTTGAGGTACGTATCTGTTGGTTAGACCTGTTGTGAGCATTAAACCACTCCAGAAGGCCAGCTTTTATCAACTAACCATTTTCAGACTAATTTATTAGTAATATTAGTATTGTTAGTAGTAGTATAAACAGATGTTGCAGATTACCTTTGTTTCTCATGCTTCGTTTTGTGTTTAAACCTCCTCTTTGGGGTGAACTCAAAGGCATATCCAGTGCATAAGTGTAATGCCAATGCATAATCACTTCTGCAAATATTCTGAGATATGATAACGCTAGAAACAGCTTAAATCAGTCATAGATAGTTTGATGGTCTGCATTGGTATCCTATTTAGGTAAGTACTTTTTAGTAAGGTGAATAAAGACTAATTGAAAACACCCGATCATTCATTCACATTCCTTCAGCTTAGTCCCTTTATTAATCAGGGGTCACCACAGCGGAATGAACCACCAAAACCATATTAATTACCATATTCATTGATCATTTCATTCTTAATTATTAATGAAGTTTAAAAAGTAATACTGAATCCTTAGATGATTCTAAATGCAGATAATTCTAAAACAAATGAAAATGTACTTACCATTTACTCACTAGATTTTTTGTTGTTGCTGAACACAAAAGAAGATATTTAAAAGAAAGCTGTAAACCTGTAACCATCAACTTCTATAGTAGAGCAATTCCAGCGTTATGGATTTGCAATTTGCTGGTTAAAAACGCAAAACATACATTTGCAAAGAAAGTAAACATGAACATTATATAAAAAATATAAACAAAATTTAACTTTTATATTTTCCAGAATAACTGACCACATAGTTACAGGACCAGAAAAATATCAATCTTCAAACATGTTTTGTACTGTAAATGAAGAAAATAAACATGCATTATGGATGTGACCAAAAAAGTCTGCAAGTTTACAGTATACAACATACTTTGTAGAAGTTCTGTGAATTAAACTGCTCAACCCAAAAGAACAATGCTAATCAAAATAGACTTGGCTCACTATAAAACAAAAATGATTGGTTTTATTTTAATATTTTTACATTTATGAGGAAAAAGTGTCGTTATGGATGTGACATGTGAAATTGCCACTTGTGTGACTTTGGTAAATCAAAAATAATAGATTGAAAACACTGACAGATGCATTTTTGAGTATTTCTAAAGTACTTTAAAAATACTTGCTTACCCAAAAAACCCAGAAAACTAGGTTTCTGTGTTTTAGTGAAAACTTTTTTTTTTCTTCTTGGCAAGGTTGACATTTGCACGGAACTGCTCAATAATAAAAAAAATAATAATAATAACAATAATTTCATATAAGTCAGTGTTTACAGTTTTCCATCTTTCTTAAAAAAAAAAAAAAAAAAAATATATATATATATATATATATATATATATATATATATATATATATATATATATATATATATATATACATATATATATATATATATATTTCATGTTTAACAGAAATAAAGTTGGAACAAGTAAATAGTGAGTTATATATAAGTCCAGTTACAGTTAATAAAAATGATAAGGAGACCTGAAAGAAGTCTCTAAATATTATTTATTACAGTGTTATTAATTGGTCCTGTTTTCCTCCATTTCTCTTAGACATTTACAGGACACTTTGTCTATTACATCAAGCCAGTATTGCCTTTTGCCAGGAGTATTCTTCACCTCATTGGATACACAGAAACAGACTCAGAGTATAGACTTTCTGACAGTTTTGACCTAGACAAGGCCAGGACTATGGGTTTTGACCTTTTTCTTGCAAGGTTGGAGTGTGATTATCTTCTGGAGCTTATGAACCAGAAATCACATGTAGAATGTCTGGAGATCATGCAAAAGAGAGCTACTCAAGATGTTGTGGAAGATCTTGCAGGGGTAGAAGGTGCAAAACCTGAAGCTGCAGAACCTGAAGGTGACCTTGTGGAAAACCCAGAGGAACTGCAGCCACAAGAGTCACTTAAAAGCCATGATCAAGAAGTGGACAAGTCTCAAGAAGATGCAGTTTCTGATGAAGAAAGACCACCCAAATCATTTGAGACTGATGATAAGTCTATCTTGGAGATGTGGAAGGCTTACCCAGACCTGGCTTTCAGACAAAATCCCATTTTCCGAAAGTCCCAAAGATCTATGCAACCGCTCAAGGCCCAGGAGTGGGCTGGATCCAGGGGCCACAATGCAGGCCTGTTCCACGAGACAAGTACTGAGATGAGTGGCCCTCAGTCTATAGCCATACACACTGAGACCAGCCCAGGTCATCTAAAGCCACACAATCCAAACTCAATTGTAGAAACCCAGCCTTTGGATGCCAAACCCATAGTCCTTAAAGTCGGAGCACTTCTACAAGGTGAAGTCTTAACAGAAGACGGCCTGTCTGAGCTTACCGAGCAGATGGGGAAAATGCAGATGAAGGAACTTAGTGTGGATGAACCCCTTAAATACCCCACAGAGGAGACTGCACAGGCCCACCCATGCAATGGACACAATGACATCACAACCCCACCTACAAAATCCCCAGATTGCATGAGCCCGCCTATCTTGTGCAGCTCATCCCAAGAGCCTGTGTGCAACATCTCAGGTTGTGGAAGCTGCGCTAGATCTGATGGCACTCTTGCACAAGAGGACACCATTAGGGAGCCTCCCCAGTCCATCTACATCCCTTGTGTGCCAAAAGGATGTGCACCAGTGTTCGGATCGCCAACTGACCATTGTCAAACTGCCAACGAGGGCTCAAGTGCACAGAGGAGTCCAACATCTCAGCCTGCAGAAGATGACCTCGTCCAAACATATGTCATAGTTTAGACACTTAAAAGTATTGCAAGTTTCTCATCCATTCCAAAGATTTTAAAACTAGGATGTCAAACTCAGCTCCTGGAGGACCTAAATCTTACATTTTTAGTTCAATCAAACCTGTGTCTGTCATGAACACTTTTCAAGTTAGTCCTAAGGACGCAATTATCTCAGTTAGATGTGCTTTAGGTTGATGCTGTAAGTCCAGTGACAATTCTTTGCTAGTCCACACTTATGCTGTAATGCACATTGACTATTACATAAAGTCATCTGGCAAACGTACACATCAAGGGAATAATCCGTGAACACTCCCTAACTCTAAAGTGACAAATGGGACCTCCAATGTTCTTGTGTTCTTTTATTGCGTTTCAGACAAAGTCAGGTGTAAATTTCTGCAGAAAAATGTCCCACTTCCGAACTCACTGCTTTTCAGTCAATTTTGCATCACGGATGCATTTTTGCCACAAGATGTGAATGTTTCAAAACATTTCATGTTTTTGTTCTAATTATGGCTAAAACAATAAGAAAATGCTAGCTGTACTTTAAATACAGCTGACAAAAAAGAACATTATATATTGCACTGTAAAAGAAATATAATATATAAAATAGGCTTTATTGGTTGGGTTTCTGCTCATTTTGTAATATAAATATACTTGAAATTGTCATTATTTTAGCAATAATTATTATTTGTTTCACATATGTTTCTCAAATTTCACTGAAGCAGAACTAGCCAGCATCTGTGAAGTGAGGTTGAATGACGGGTCATGCTGAAGTCAGGGTTCTTCAATCTGCCATGGGTTCACAGGTCAGGTGTCTGACATCTAAACATTATTTCCAACTAGAAAAATTCCAAATTCTGAGTTATCAGGAAAGGCAGCATTATTAAAATATCCACAAAATGTGACAGTGCAAGTGCACAAAAGCCTTCACCATTTGGGACAGGGCCAAACTCCGCAAGACTTTGACCCTAATGGAAGTGAGTTTGACATCTTTTTTTTTTTAAGTGTGCTGCAGTATTGCAGTGTACGTGCTCTCAAAAAAAGTAATGATGTACATAGCATTTTCATTGATGGTGAGCCTTAATGAAGCCTTTATTTTGGATTAGCTGTGGTATCTTATGAAGGTGATGGGAATGTCTGTGTGACCTTTGTCTTTTTATCTAATAGCTTTTTGAAGTGAAGGAAGGTTTCTGCTGCTATAATTTTCATGAAACTTATGGTCAAAATGATTGTTTGAGCTTGATATATTAGGTTCTGTGCCTTACTAAATGTAGAGCCAGCTTAATGTGCACCTACATGTCTTAATGGAACATTTGTTTTGCAGGAACGTCTACCTTAAATAAACGTGGGTTAAATTGTGTTCAAAAGATGGTGCGCCAATGTATCGCTATTGATCAAGAGTAACCAGGTGTAACCAATTTCCTATTTATCTTACTGTACAACTGTGGAGCACCGCAGAGAAAGATATTAATGCAAACTGCAATGTGATAAAATCAATGTTTTCATTTTATTTAAAACAATGCCTTGTGTTGTATAAATTACAATGGTCACAGTAATAACTTCAGTAACACAAAACTGGCCAATAACATCTGTTGTTAGACATTACCTTCAAGTGGCAACAGAAAAAAATGAACAGGAAAATAAAACAAAGGGATACTTCGTAAAACCTGAGTGTGATGTTGTCAATGTAAATGTAGTAACTGAAGCACATATTAAACATCTATATGATCCAATATAAACATTCTGAATAGAAAACATTTCCAAGTGCAGTAGTTTCATGTAATATGGAATGATTCCATAAAGGTAAAAAATAAAGCTAGATGTTTAAATCACACCTTCATTGACTAAAAAAAAAACACACAAAACATAACAGGCAGCATTTAAATAAAACATCTAATTTATGAATTTATAAACCCTACTATGCATGTCAGCTTCCATTGCAAGAGGAATGTTTACATATTATAAATTCAGTTTGAAGTCAAAAGTGCTTGGTTTTTTCGGTCTCCAAGAGAGCTGAAAACATTTATAGACTGATATACCATCGTTCTGTCAGATCCTTTACTCAACGAGCCATGAGTATCTTCTCTCTGTTCTCCTCAAACTGATGCAGCATCTTCTTAAGATCATGATCAGCAGGGATTACCTGTTCACCAATGTCAAAAAAATAAATACTTCAATATATATAGTACATCCAACAATACGAGTTCAGAAATGTCCAAGCATGATAATGTGTCAAAATAGATGTAACTTAAGGAAATAAAGCTTTTTATCCACTTGCAGAAACTTACAAGAACAGGAGCAGGAACATGAAATGACTTCTGATGAATCAGCCAGTCCTCATACAGGTTATGGATTGATTCTAGATATTCCTAAAGAGTGAACATCAGCAAAAGTGTGATTGCTTTCATTCTGTACAATACAATTGCGTAATGTTTGCAATCATTTGTTTATTTTCCCTCAGCTTAGTCTCTTTATTCATCAGAGGTCGCCACAGCGGAATGAACCGCACACTTATTCAGTATATGTTTAACACAGCGGATGCCCTTCCAGCTGCAACCCAGTACTAAGAAAGTTGCAATAATTACTTACTGTAAATCATCTGTGATCTAGAAAGCCTTTGAAAATCCGGTAATGCTATTCAAATGGAAATGCATTTCATCTGATTGCTTTTACAGTGTAAATGCTCATGTGGCTGAATAAACAGCCACAAAAAACCTTCTACTGACCAAACACATTATCATTATGGCATGTGTTGTGAGAAAGCAGACCAAACCAAGATATTCATAGTTCAATGTGGTACCAAAACAGAAAAGATTATGATCAAAATAACAGATGTCAACCACATTATTTTCATTGCTTGCTTTTGGACTTTTTAGCAGCGTAACATGGCTTTTCACTCATGCATCACAGTGAGTGCTCTCACAAAAGTGATTAAATAAATTGTAAAATCTTGACTACAAAATCTCCCTATATTGCCAATAGCCAAAAACACATTGTATAGGTCATTTTTCCTTTATGCTAAAGATCATTAGAATATTAAGTGATGATTGTGTTCTTTGAAGAAATAGTGTACTTTTTCTATTGTAAATAAACCAAAACATTTTGAATTAGTAATATTCACTGCGAAAAAATGAGATTGACCAATTTGAAAAACGATTTTCTCAGTATTTCTATTTTTTTTAAACCCTACATCAATGAAAAGCTTATTTAAATCACATTTCAGGTGAACGCACTTGGACATTTTAAAGGGCACCTATTTTATCTTTTTTCCAAGATGTTAGATAAATATTTTCTGTCTCCAGAATGTGTCTGTAAAGTTTCAGCTCAAAACACCAATTAGATTGTTGCTCTGAACAAAATGTTGCTGTTTGAGTGTGCCCTAATCTCCGCCTCGGCTGCGTCAGATAAACAGCACAGTGACAGACATGAAGGTATCAGGTCTCAGGTAACGTTTGTAAGAAAATACTACTGTAGGAACTTTCCCAATGATGTATTTGTTGTGAAGTTAATTCAAGCCTTTCTGCCACAATGAGTCACACACAATATCATTACAAAGTTCACGCACACACATTTAACTTTGCACTGTTTTTGCATGGAAAATGTGACAGGATACATGTTAATATACACTGCTGTATGGATATGCGTCATGTTAATGTACCAAATAATCCTGATTTAACGTCCACACACCGGCGCACGTCCTGTGGATATGATTATACGTGTAACTACAGAAACATGTTGATACACAGCTGTCAATTAATTTGGTGGGCGGGAAAACCGCAATCCTATGTCACATATCGGTAAGCCTCAAATGGGAAGGATTTGGACCAAATTTTAACGTCAGGAAATGAAAAAAAAAAAAAAAAGGCTTATTGTGTTTCTATTCCCCCAATATGACTGTGGACACACTATACCTACACACGGTTCGGCTTCGAAAAGATGATTTTCATCATTGGTGCCCTTAAATAAAAGGTGGAACTGTATGGTAATGTGTCTCATGCAGAAACAGAGCCTTGGAGATTGTGCGTTGGGTTTAGTTTCACATTTGCTGTGTTTCAGTTCTGTTTTTCATGCACTGGTTGGACAAAAACTGAAGAAATGCTGAGCTCACCAAGGGAATAACCTTCTCTTCCTCTCTGCACCTCTGCTTCAGTCTCTCATGGCAGGTCTGTGGTGAGGTTTGCAGGTAAACTGAAACGGTAAAAAAAAAAAAAAAAAAAAAAAAAAAAAAAAAAACGGTAACATCCAGCATTTCACTAACTATTTTAAGCACCCTTATCATGGATTATGAAAAGATTGATATTTAAGTTTTGGGAATCCTTAAGAACACGCTGAAATGCATGCAAGTTCTAGAAACACTGTCACTGTCTTAAAAAAAGCATTTAGTTTACTTCATTTGCACAACGACACACATAAGGCTTGCTAAATGAAACGTTTTTCCAAAACTCTTCTTTACATGACACTAATCTGCAGTGATTGGTCTGATGGCTTAGTCTGTTGTGATTGGTCTACTGCATGCAGCACATTTTGAAAAGGGAAGGCTTATCAACATTCCCGTACTACAGGCTGTCAAGCATTGACCATTCATACAGTGGTTGAACAGACAACATGGCTTTAAATTTACTATATCAAATCAATTTAGAGTTTGACAAGGAAGCATTCTTCCATAATATATATACAGAAATGCTGAACATACACATAGGCCTAATATTATTGTTGTTGTTACCATATGTTTGAGAAATAACAGTGATAAAAGTCTACTCATATTAACCTTGGTTTTACATTTACAGAATAGTGAGAAAAGCGTGTTCTTGATTTTAAGCAAAAACAAAATTAAAAATCATGATTCTCATTTTAGCCAGAATCGTGCGGCCCTATAAAATACAAAACACATATATAGGTGTCATACCAATGAGGTCCACAGGAAGAGAGATGTTCTTGATGATCCACTCAAACCATTCACTTAAAACAGCGAAGTCCACCTCGGGCATCTTTCCACTGTCAAGGAAACAAAACAACACAGAAGTACTCATTTAATGATTAGTTCAATCTTAGGTTAAAAATAAGAGAGCTATGGCTTTGGTAAAAAAAAAAAAAACATACCTTTTATAAAGATTTTCCACAAATATGTACTTTGCGCTGTAAATAGATCTCTCCATCATTCTGATAGGTGCTGTCTGTAATCATAATGAAAACAACAAGAAGTTATTGAAGTCATTTATTTTTTTCCAATCACCCAGAAGGAAGGGATACTGATTGTACAGCAGAATAAAAACAGATGCATGTGAAGCAAGTGAAAATAAAACTGATGTCAAAGAGTATTTGTACATGCCATTGGCGAGACATGTTGATCCAGCATTGTAAGCTGAACATAGGTCTGAAGAGTGAGTCCCCATCGAGTCGGGTCCTGGTACATCAATCCCTGCGGTAGAATAAATAAGTTAGGGTGACCAAGACAATATTTGTAACTCAAATACACATTGTTTTGCAACGTAGAAGTACAGTACGCTTTATTATGTGAAACATAAATGCATTAGCTATAGCCTCTATTTATAAATAACCAAAACAAATGCAGTGAAAACTATTAATAAACCAGTGTGTTTTTACAATGATGATAACTTAAAGTAAACAGAAAGAACACAGCACTCCTTAAACTCATAATGAGGCGCCACTGGAGTCCTACCAATGGATTGCATCCCTGTACATTTCTCCATTTGGACACAGGCTCTGTCAACACCTGAAACATAACAGGCATTTTTTTTTAGCTTTTAAAGGGACGGTTTTCACCAAATTGAAAATGCAGTCACCATTCACACAACCTGATGTTACAACACAGAATGCCCTTCTTTATCTCAGATAACAAAGGGACATTTTTCTTTTGTAAATGTACTGCTCATGCTAATCTATACAACTGTATTCATTAGCAACTAGAATAAGGCTCTTTTAGAAGACAGAGTAATTTCACATTGTTCATTTCATCCACAGAATTAGGGCTTGATCTTTTGCTAGTAGTTAGTGTTAATTACAAGTAAAATGTCATACAGTTTTGGTGTGCAGACTTGTTGAGGTACGTTAAGCAATGTTTTTCACCCACTAAAATTAGAGCTCATTATTTTGCTAGTAGTGCTAATCACAAGTACAATTTGATAGAAATTTGGTTTCCCTCGCTTGTTGTTAAGGTACATTAAGCCACATTAAGCTTTTTCTTTATAATAGACTTCAATGGGGAGAAAACACTTAACATGTTTTCACTTTATCTGTGGAATTGGGACTCATTCTTTTTACAGTAGTTAGTAGTTAGGGTTAATTACAAGTACAAATACAAGTTTTGACAGTGATTTGGGTTTTTTCTGGTGGATTTAGAATGTCCCTTACCTTTTGTGGTAAGGGACATTCTAACAGAAACGGTGAGAAACGTAACACATTTATTTTTTTGATTTTTTTTTTTTTTTTTACAAGGAAAGGCACACTATGTTAAAACACCAGATTGAGTAAAAAGTGGCTGATTTGTGGGTTTCATTATATAAATTCCATTATTCAATCAAATAAATCAATAACAGGGTTAAAGGATGAGAGACTTCTGGCACTGTGAGCATTATTACATAATTTTTCTGTATTACCTCAATGTCACTGGTCTTGCTGAAGTACTCCAGACATGTCGTTTTTCCACTTGCTATATTTCCCTCTAAACAAATCTGAATAGTGTGGAAGAATTGATTAAAACAACGACCCATAAACATCAATGACAAGAACTCATTCACTGTTTTCAGTCGTCCATCTTTCAGAGAAGAGATGCTGCAGTGTTCAACTCACCACTGACTTCTTTCCCTCTCCATTTCTGACCAGTTTCCCTTGAGAAGAAGAAGAAAACATCATGACAATCTCCTCAGATTAAGCGGTAATACTGTATGACATTCAGAGGCTCGGGGACGCAAAAGACAACGAGCTTATTAAGCTCATCTCAAAATTGTGAGACACGTTAACTGTAACAAGGCGTCTTGCACATGACATAGCCGGTTAGTCAAAATTTAAGGACAATGTGAAATTGACGAGAACTAATAACGTTAAATGTGAATGAAAAGCAGAGCGGTGGTCGCTGTTATATTGCGTGGAACGGAAGCTGACAGAGGACTTACCGTGAGATGTGCTGCTGCGCCAGTGCCCGAGTAAATGCTTCCCCAGCGCTGCTCTATGTCGGACAAGTATATTTGTTGACAAAGATTTGTGTGAATACAGAGGTAAGACAACACGACACAACCCTTTAAAGGAGTTTACAATCATCCCGTTTGCTCCTTCGATCTCTAGAAGTTACATATAAAGGCGCAAGAGTTATGTAAACTCATGATGATGCTCTAAACTTGCAATGTTACGTGCAACACTAAGGAGCAACCAAACATGTCAAAACAAAAGTCCCAACTACATTGACAAAATACAGGCACTTTTTTATTGCTGTTGTTATTATTGTTGTTGTTATTATTAGTAGTAGTATTATTATTTAGAAATTCATATTTAAATAATGTACCCAGTTATTTTTTGTAGCAAACAGTTTTAGTTAATTAAAATTAATTCAGCATGAAACCTTTTTTTTGCCTATTGCTTTTATAAATTATCATAGGGAAGAATTTAATGCTATTTTATCAGTTGACTTAAAAAAAATCACTGCTTTGCGTTTTACATAACACGCTGTTGTATCAGACGTCTTAATATAAAATAATAGAATGCATTTGTAGTAAATACATAATTAACATAAACATTTATGAATGAGTACATTTGTAAATTATTCATGATTTTATTTATTTTTAACATGTTGTAGACTAACAAAATTAATGAAGTAGCATGACAAAAACAACGTAACTGAAGGCACTGTGCTTGCTTTATATTGTTTGTCAGCCACAATTAAGCCCCCTTAAAATAGTAGGTGATTTCATATATAAAAGATGACTTTTATTTTGATTGAAATAACTAGTGACCAACAACGATCTCCTGGATGACCATGCCAGAATTACAATGGTCTCTGCAGTATAAAATAGACCAGCTGCAATTTACAAATGCCAAAAATTCAGTGTATTATATTTCTCACTTCACATTTTGGTAATCACTTAAGTGAGTTATCAGTCTGTACAGATTTATTATCACCAAATATAAAGAGAGAAGTTCAACAAAAGTCAAAATGCTTTAAACCCCAAACGAAGATATTTACTACATCTTTGAAAAAGACACATTTAGTCATTTCCTCATGAGACAAAGAGGAAATACTCACTCAGGAAGTAATGTGCAAGTTTGTCATGATGTTATAACAATCCATCGACAAAACACATACGCAAAGCTCACATTAATGCCACAATGGAAGTTGATTTGGCCTTGTTGAAGTCCTCAAAAGGTTTACTGAAAATAGCAGAGATGGTGAGAAATGTAACACATTTATCTCTTTGATACATTTTTGGCAGGGCAAATGTTACTCTCAATCACTAGTCTCTTTAAATACTATCTGCTTGAGCATGGGCTTCACGTGTACTCCATTGTTAGAAAGGGAAACAATGTAAGCATGTTAACTAACATGGTAATGTGTGTTCATGATTTGACACAATGTAACAAACTGAAAGACTGTTGTAGAAGTGAAGCAGTTGTTGCTCATGATCTAGACCAGAAGTAACTCCTGAATTACGTGTGTTTTTATTTTCTGGTCAGGTGTGTGTTTTTGTGGCTTTTGTGTCGTATGCAGTGGCATCTCGGCCGCCCTACATTGCAGCGACCTGCATAGAGTTTTTCATCACGCTTGGTTTTTTTCTGCTCTACCTTCTGAAACTCAACAAAGTGTTCACTTTCTTCTTCTTCTTATTGTAAGCAACAGACTAATCCACTTGACTGATTGACTGAGTTTTGGTAATGTTTTGCAGTGAGAACTTTATCTATTTATACCTGCAAGTTGTTACCGCAAACTAATGCATTTTTGCTCTCACAGGATGTGTTCAACTCACTCTTTGCAGCTGCATTCATGTTTATTCTTAGCATGGTTGCAGTTTCAACATTCACAGTGAAGGGCACTTTGAGCGGAGGGGTGAGAAACATGACATCCTGTATTCCTGTAACTCTGCCACTGTTTAAGACTAAATATGCACTGTAGACACAAATATCAGTCAAACATGGCCAAACTAAAATGTTAAACCGTTAAATAAATATGTAACCCAACGGTTGAGTTTGTCCATATTTGACCCAAATTTTAAGGCTGAAGCAACCTAGCATTTTTAAGAGTGTATTATACTTTATCAAACATATCAAATCTTTCATTGTGGATAACCCAAACATCATGACACAACGTGTTTCTTACAAAATGGTGTTTTGCTTGACAGATCATGGGCTTTGTGGCTGCAGCCTTGTGGTCATTGGATGGCTATATTCTTTTCAAAAAAATCACATTCAACAAGCCAAGAACCACCACAAGAGCCCAAACAGGGGAAGAGTAATGCCTCATAACTGTGTTGACTCATTTAGTGAGTGAGTGGGCCATTTTTACAGCCAAAATGAGAGTGTCAAGTATATTATACTGTTGTATGATGTATACTTTTGTTCATAAATAATGTGCAAAAGAATTAGAATCACTGAAAAGACTGAAACCTACACACAAATCTGCAAAGGGTTTCAAATAGATTCTGGAGGTGCAATTGATAAATAAATGCTGAGAAAATTGTCTTTAAATGTGTTCGGATTATGTTTTTATCAAGGTGGCATGGTGGCTCAGTGGTTAGCACTGTCACTGGTTCAAGTCCCGGCTGGGCCAGTTGAAATGTCTGTGTGGAGTTTGCATGTTTTCCCCGTGTTGGTGTAGGTTTCCTACTGGTGCTCCGGTTTCCCCCACAAGTCCAAAGACATGCGCTATAGGTGAATTATCATTCATTCATTCTTTTTCTTTTTTTTCCTTTTATTAATCTGAGGTCGCCACAGCGGAATGAACTGCCAATTTATGTTTTTTCTTTGGACTTTGAGGAAAACTGGAGCACACAGAGGAAACCTATGCCAACATGGTGACAACATGCAAACTCCACACAGAAATGACAAAGCTGAGGCTCGAACCAGCGACCTTTTTGCTGTGAGGTGATCGTGCTACCTATTGTGCCACCCTGATGCTCACTAAGTGAATTAAATAAACTAAATCGACCATAATGTATGAGTGTGTGTGAGCATATGCTGCATAAGTTGGCAGTTCATTCCACTGTGGCGAACTCTGAACTGGAGACTAGGGTCAAAGACTAAAAGGGGTTTAAGTAATCTAAAACAATAAAAGTTTATTTCAGAAAATAATAACGATTATAATATATTTCGACTATGATTTACAGAAGGTATTAATGTTAATCAACAGACAAAAATCATCATCAATCATTTATTATTATTAAGTTTTTTAAACAATCTTTATTTTAGTCGCAAACTCAAACTTTTCACGTTTGTCAGCAACAATCTCATTCATTTAATGATTAAAAACAATATATGAACCATAGCTTAAGGGGGCTTGATGTTTGTCAGACCCCAAACAGAGCAGCACTAGGGTTAAATCTGTCCTGCAGATGGAAAATGAGCAGTTTTTGCACAGTGTATGTCTTTACAGTTGCCTCTGCGTCCTGTGAGAGATGTTTCGCCCACATTTTATGTTCACTTATTAACGGTCTCCAGATTTTGGGAATGCAGATGTTGCTCTTTTGTGTGCTTCGTTTCCGCACTGTCATTATTTCCGTTTCCAGTCCGTGGAAAGTTATGCCGATTTGCGAAGAGTGGGCAGCTGCTGACTGTCTCTAGCGGAGAGCAGAGCAGGGCGCCTCCCCGTCAACTTTACTCGGGAACAGAATAGACTGATCGGCGGGATGGGGGACATCGAGGATCCGCGGAGCAACCGAGCACCACAGACCGTACTTCAGTCCGTTCTCCCCACCAAAGAATTCATCTCCTCTCGAAAAGGACTGTTGCTTCTCGGTGAAGTGGTACGCTTTTAGACTTTTTTCATGTTTAATCCATCCACCAGTCTGTTAGTCATTATGCCATTTTGTACTGTTGTCTGCTGAATGCTTTTGTCTGGTTTTGCTTTTGACTGCTTGATAAATATAAGTACTTTATGGGACAAAAACGTGGCATTTATTAGTTTTATTGAAGCTTCTGGTTATTGATCTGATCATTTATGCGTGTCAGGCTTTGATTATCTTTTCACATATTTTCTTTTAAGTTTCTTCTTGAATTGAATAATATAGCTACATGTGATTTCTGCAGTATAGGTCAAGCACATTCAAGAGCTGAACTCATTCATTTGAATGGAGAGTTTTTTGAAAGTTTTGGACACCAAACCTCCCAGTTTTTTTTTTTTTTTGCAAACATTTAAAGTTCCCCTTAAGTAATATAATATGATTATATTTATAATAAACAAGATATATGGTCTAATTTACATTTCATTAAAAATACTTATTTATTTGTTGTTTACGTGTTTATTTGTTAAAATTCATGTTGTCAAATAAATAGGTCTGATACATTTAATTGTAAATTTTTCATTAATCTTTTATTGACCCTGCAAGTTCACTCAATTACTACCGATGCAACTAAATCACACTTCATTAAAATTTCTGTTATTTCATTATTTTAGTAAAAAATATGGGGGGAAACACCAATTTAAAAAAAAAAATTTTTTAGTCCATAACTTTTTTGGTAGGGGCGACATGTGGCTCAGTGGTTAGCTCTATCGACTCACAGAAAGAAGGTAAAACATATGCTGGATAAGTTGGTGGTCCATTCCGCTGTGGCGATCCCTGATGAGTAAAGGAACTAAGCCGAAGGAAAATTATGAAGTGAATGAAATTACTTTTTTGGTAGAAAAAACTGTGTTCATATCTTATTCCCTCCTCGTGATGCACATAGTAAGCTTGTAATCATGTTTTCTGACATGAATGTTAGGAAATATGAATGGGCTGCCATTAATTTTTGCATCGTTATAGTTTCTGCTTCTTTATAATAATTTTGAATTGGATGACAATTAGAAACTGAAATCTACATGTAACACTAATACTCATTAAATACACAGCCACACAATACCAATGTTAACATGAGGACACTATATACTGCATAACAGCAGGTTAACTATGTTTATATAATGTCCAACCCATACATAACTACTTATCTTTTAAATTTTTTATTTAATGTAGTAATAATGTGCACCTCCTTTGTATTATTTTGAAAGCGCTATACAAATAAACTTAAAATAAATCAGTAGCCCTGTGACTTTTATAGTATATTTTTTCCTAAGGATGTTAATGTCTACCAGTATCTAACTTTCTTCCAAATATCTTCTTGTTCAACAGAAAAAAAGGAACTCATATAGCTTTTGAGCTCTTGAGGGTTTCAGTTTTGATTTTTGGGTGAACCAGTTGAGGGTTTCAATTTTTTATTTTTGAGTAAACTTTCCTTTAAAGCTTTGTGTACCAAGTAACTAACAGGGAGAAAATCGAGGTGTCTTCAATTATTAGTAAAATATATATATGACAATCATATTTTTTACTTATAAAAAGAAGCAAAAAATAAAATAAATAAGATATTCCAGAAAGAAAAAGTGAGGCCAAATTACACTTTTATTGTTTTGACACTTGAAGACCTCTTTTGTCATGTTGTAAACAAGCCCTTAGAGTCGACTGCATGAAAATTGTTTATGTGCATGTGTGTCTCATGTGAATCACCAGACATCATCTTTGACATGGTGAACTTGACACCAAGACAATGTTTTTTCCTGTTAAGGCTGTGAAGTAGTGTATTCTGAGGTTTCTTGTCTTTAAAGAGTCTAGCACATTCATCCTGTTACAAATATTGAACAGTAAATATTCTAATAAAGATAAATATATCTAACCTATATATCCTCATGTTTGCTGTGTCCTCAGGCGCTTTCATTCATCAGCTTCGTGTGTTTCGCCGCCTCAACAGCAGCTGCTTTCGTCACAGCTCCGCTCATTGAGTTCTTGGCAGCTCTTTTCCTGCTGTTTGCTTATTCTACAAAGTTCAACGAGAGATTTAAAGGCTTCCACTGGCCTCTTATGGTAAGTTTACTGACCTACAAAAATGACTCGAGTTAATAGAGCGTCAGATTATGATAGCAGTCGTGTCCTCATTTCCAAATCTCCATGTCTGTTGTTTCATCAAGGATTTCCTGCGCTGTGTCAGCGCCTCCATCATCTTCTTCATCGTCTCTATAATGTCTGTGTCAAAGTATCCCGATGGAGCTTCAAAAGCAGCTGGGGTAGGCTTATATGCTTTCAATCCAAAAATCTTTTTTCTACACAAGAGATGCTCAATCCTGTTCCTGGAGATCTACCTTCGTGCAGAGTTCAGCTCCAACCCTTATCAAACACAACTAAACCAACTAAGTAGGATCTGAAGGAACACTTGGTAATTAACGACAGGTGTGTTTGACCAAGGCTGCAGCTGAACTCTGCAGAATTGTAGATCTCCAGGAACAGAATTGAGCACCCCTGATCTACTCTATCAACACTGTTTACTTGGGATTTACAGCTGTATCACATGTAATACTTACACTGGCCTCCTACAGCTAGCTGTTTAAACCTTTGAAACTTTCAAGAATCTATTTTTATGCTAGTAATGTTATTTTTAGCTATCTTTTCTGTACTTGCACTTATTTATAAACTACCAGTGTTTATTTTTTTGTATTTTTATTTGTGTGCTTATATTATTATTAATAGATACTAGCATTTATATGATACATACTGGGACTTTAAAGTGACTAATGAATGTTTAGTAAATGACTAGTAACAAATGTTATATTCGTTTGCCCTTGAGATATCAGCTATTCATTTTGGACTAGGATGCATTTAATTTGTGACTAGTAGATATATTAGTTTTATTTTATTCTTATTATCCAGTAGGTACTAGTTGTTATTTTTCAATATTGACTTGCTGTCATATGCAGGATTTAACCAACAGTATTTAACTCAGTACTGGTTTTCCTTTCAAGAATTCACACTTGCATATTGCTTGAGAATAGGTTGTTCATGCTGTCCCGGGAGAGAACCCTGAGCTTGGAGATAATTGAGCCCAGGGCTCCTGCCTGGACAATGAGCGTGTGCTGGGGTACGAGATCAGATAGTTCTCAAGAGCTCCCCCTGGTAAATAAGGAAAAGGGCTGGATGGGGGTATTCTTCAAAAAAGTAAGATAAGGCAGTAATGCTAGTTGAGCTATTTATAGTGAGTTTGGAATAATCTGATTGGCTTACTAATGATTACAGATGAGAGACCAGCCGTGATCCATCATATCACATGTTCCTCTAGAAATACACTTGGAAATTAGAATTGAAACTTCCCTTATTGCACACCAGCATTTATTCATTCGATTCTGGAATTTATTCATTAGATTCTATTACTTATGGTGGCTCAGAGAGCTTAACGTGCTACAAGTAATGAAATACATGCAAATAGAGAATCACCAACAAACCGAGAAAGCATCTTCATTAATTTGCATGCAAATTCTGACAACACACCCCAAAAAGGAATGGCTGTATTATACAGTACGGTTCCTTACTGTTTGTATACTTTTAGTCCTAAAATTCTGATGAATTGCACAATTAACATTAAAGGGCACCTATTTTACCCCTTTTGCAATATGTAAGACAAGTCTTTGATGTCTCAAATGTTTCTATAGTTTCTAAGTTTCAGCTCAAATTACCCATCAGATAATTTATTATAGGCTCCAGAATCTGCCCATTTTAATGTCTGAGTACATTGTAGCTCTTTCTGTAGCATGTGGCTTTAAATGCAAATGAGCTGCTTCGCCCCGCCCATCGCTACCGCATGTGATTCTGCTTCTCATCATGTGTTACATCAGATAGACAGCACAGTGACAGAGACCGACTCGGATGAAGCTGAAATAAGGTCATTAGTCAAAAATACCAAGTAAGTTTAATTGATGTTTTGTAGTTTTTTCAGTTTATTCAAGCCTTTGAAAATAGTACAAACCACAACAGAAATAAGTTGAGGGACCCTCAAAATTGACCTGACTGCATGACATCAAAACAACTTTTTATTTAAAGGGCACCTTTGATGAAAATCAACTTTGTAAGCTGTTTGGACAGAACTGTTTGTAGGTATAGTGTGTCCACAGTCAAATCGGGGTGATAAAAAAACAACTAGTCTCTTTTAAAAAAATTCCTGATATTAAAATAGGGACCTAATCCCAGTGATTTTGAGGTGCACTGCAACGTGACTTAAGAGTGTGGTTTCCCCCCCATCAAATTGATTGACATGTGCCATGGTTCTATAATAACATGTATACACATTTACACTGAATTTTTTATTTTTTTTTGCAAAAATCTGGAATTAAAATATGTGTGACAACTTTCTGTGATTATTTATTACCCGTATATTTATATTAGTTTTATTAAAACAAGCTTTTGTTTGTACTTAATGTAGCAAAAATGGATTCAGACACGCCTTTAATGCTTTTGCGCCCTGCGCTTCAGACTTTGCACCTAGATCGTTAAAATAGAGCCCGTGTTCTCAGTTTGTTGGTGTTTTTGGAAAGATTGAAAGATAACAATTGTTACTTGCAATAACTACAGAACTTACTTAAGCGTTAGTACTTCCTAAACCACCAATACTTCCTATTAAATAGGTTTTATTAATTAATGAATACCAGTATCTAGTAAATAAGATTTAGTATGTAATAAGTTGGTATCTTAAAGAAGTATTAGTAACTAAAAACAACAAAACGCACTTGTTTTGCTAGATAGTTCACCTAATCCTTTTTCCACTATTTATTTACCCTTAAATGGTTTGAATAATTCTTAAGTTTCTTTTCTTCTGTTAAACACAAAAGTTTTAAACTGGTTTTCATTGATGTTCATAATAGGACCAAACAATAATAATATAGAAGTCAAGGGCTAACGCATTTCAAAATTATTCAGAACTCAAAACACATTTAAACAAGTGGAAGGCGAGTAAAATGATTTTAATTTCCTGGTGAGCGCTTCCTTTATTGGCCAACGAGTTGCCCCAGGCCTCATGACATTTCTTTTTTCACTTCTTAGGTTTTTGGTTTCATTGCCACAATCGTCTTCGCCCTGGACTTTTATTTCATCTTTAATGAACTGGCCAACTTTCTCAAGGGAGGAGAGTCTAGTGAAGATCCTCCAAACACACAAGGTATTACGGTAGTATTACACTACTGATCAAACGTTTGTCATCTTTATCTGATTTTCATTGCATGACGCTAAAAATAACACTAAAGCAGCAGAATGATTAGTGAGACTGGTCAGAGGAAGTGTAAGTTTATTGTGGTTTCTTATCAAGGGGGGTTTCAGACTGCAGTAGAAACTCCTGCAGTAGACTTTCAATGTATGCATTAGTTTAGTTAAACAGTATGTGCTAAACTCCCATGCCAAATTCTTTGTTTTGAGAATTCCCCATCTATTTTTTTTCCTCTGTCTTGCTTAATTTTTCTTCCAGAATAACACATTTTTCTTTCTCGCAGATGATGATTCAGACTCTGACTCCGACTAAAGCTGTGATTGTATCCAGAATCCTTGCGCCTGACCACTACAGTGCCTGAAAACAAAAGACAGGCTTTGGTATTACTTTTTATTGTTTGTTCGGAGGTCCTGTACAAACGTTTTGGTCATACTTTTTTGTGACTTAAATAACACAATCTATTCAAATGTTACATGAACAGTGGAGTTTTCGATATGCGTCCATACAATCTAAGCTCCTCCCATTCGATTTCCCCAAAGCTGTGAATTATTATTATTCCAGAAATGTATAGCTTTACATTAGCCGGTTTTTGGAAAAAAAGACAGTGTTATGCCATTTATGGTATTCATGCGCTGCCTATAATGGCTTTTGTTTACTTCTAGAATGATAGTAGTAGTTGAGTTTTTACAAAATGTACGAGTGTTTTTCTTTGGGAGCTCAATGTGAGTATGTTTACCAATTGAAACTAATCTGGGAGAATATTTTCTCAATGTACATTTTTTTAAATTGCTTTTTTTAAAAATATGGTGTGATGAAGCCCTTTATTGAGAATACAATAATACTATTTTTAAAGTTTACATGAATTATGAAACGAAAAGGTGGTTGGCTGGCCATGATCGCCTATCTCATTTCTGTAGGTCTACAAATTCTTTTAATGTCAAGTTAATGCCAATGATTTGCCAAAGTACTGCAAAAACAAGATTTTGCAAGAAAAAACAGGATTTGTCACCATTCTCACCTAGAATTGAACTATTTTTTGTAGTAGCACTGCTTGGCTATTGAACCTGTACAATAATAAACATGAGCTTCAGCAGTGCTTTTACTATGGTAAAAATATTACTGTATAAGCTTTACTATAGTATCCAAAGGCATGCTGTATGTAACCACTCTCTGGTGTTTTGTATGAAGAGTGGGTATGCTTTAAGAACTCTTTTGCAAACATGCACTGTCAGATTGACACATTAATAAATCAATTTTGTGCATTGTTTTGTGTAATTGTATATATTTTATGCTGTAACAACAGCATTTTGGGGTTGCAGAATGTAAAGAAGAAAGTGTGAGGTTTGTTAGTGCTGAAATTTGTGGTGTATTTGAGTGGATATAGATTTTACAGGTACCATAGTATGCATTGATGCATTGTTTTTAACCCTTGTGCATTTTTCAAATGTACTGCCTAAATTTCAGATACATTTTGTTTCAGTTGTTTGGAGAAATATGGTAATAATCCTCAATCATAATCAAAACTACTGAATGATTTTTAAAAAATTACAGGATTTTAACTCTTTAATTGTTAAATTTATAAATGATGTCCCTGATTTGGTGGAGAGAACACACAAAATTACTAATTTTCATTATAAAAAGTAGTTATGGACTGGATTTTCTTTTACGTTTTATCACAGTCTTGGACAAGTGAAAGATTAGTAACCACGTTGTCTTTATTGCATTGTTAGTTTTTGTGCAGTATACAATTTTCATTTTTTTATCCCTAATTTACAGTTGGTGGCTATTTTAGCCCCATTGACTTCTATTATAACCACATTTTTCGATTGCAAACCGACACCATTTAATCATGCATTTTTGATTGTTGGTGGTTCTTCCTGTTGAAGGTAAAAATGTCTATTTTTACGGATGATCATCAGTTGGCACAATTAACCTTTAAGATAACCCTGTGCAAAAAAAAAAAAAAAAAAGTGTAGTTTATGGATTTTATATGGTGTAACAGCAAATGAAAGTGTGTGTCTGTGACTGAGAATATGAGAGTGACCTTTATGCACTTACCTTGAAGTGCTGAGAAAATCAAATATGCACATCTGGGGTGTGTTCTTCGTAGCTCGCATAATTGATCTAAGATGATTTGTCAGATCCTGGATATTTTAATCTAGATATCTGATCTCTGGCTAATTTGGTTCTCCAAACAAGTTTGTGAATCAGATTAAATGTCTGGATGAACTGATCTGAGATAGCTGCATGTGTTGTGAAGGACTGATCTATCGATCCTCGAAATCATCAGCAATGCAACGATTGGCTGACGGCACAACAGCGTAATGACATCATCTGATTAATATTCAATTATCCATGTGAGCTAAATAACATCAAATTTGTAGTAAACGGTTTGTTAAATATGATACGCAATAACTTTACACCTTGTTGTGGGCTGCATGCTTTACATTTTCATGTGTCAAGAGCAATTTATTTAGTTTTATAGTTAGAACAGGTTTTCCTTATTATAGTAGTATTATTGTAGCTGGTTTTTTAATCAGTGTAAGCTAAAGAATAACTGGTTGTTTAGGGAAAAAAAATTACAGTTTTTTTGGATTGCTTACACACTAAAAATAAAAGTAGTACACTATTAGCAAAACCTTACACACAAGTATCAAAACATCAGCCCATATTTGCACAACTATAAGCACATTGTCAACTTAACACTTGTTGCAAAACTCTACACACAGTGATTTTCAAAACACTAAACACACTTAACATACATTACACACTAAAATCTATCATGAAGTCACTTCCTTGTAATACCAAAGCACTGACTGTCAAATTACTGCACCGTCCAACCAATTGGTTCAACACAGTCGTCAGGTGTGCAAACACTTGTTTGATTAATTGTAGACACACCAATTAGGTGTTTAAGCACTATAAAATGCCAGTTTCAATGATAACCATAAGGTCTCAATATCAACACTGGCACACACCATAAAAAAAAAAACATATTCAAATGAAGCAAATTAATGGAGTGCCTTTCGAGCACAATTTTGAAATGGTGAAAAGACTGTGGCATGATTATGCAGAGGTATGTATTCACTTTAGCATTATGATCTGGCATTCTGTCTCATAATCTTTTACTGTACTGTAATACTAGATCTACACTGAACTACACAATTTTGCCTGACACTGTTCTTCAGGTAGTTTTACGAATGGATGAAGAAGAGATCAAGCATGAGTTCATTTACGTAGATGATGGTGTGTTCAACCTGACGAGAACATGGAGTAGAAGAAACATCATTGGCCACAGGGCTATAGTCAATGTCCCAAAAATATACAGTAACACTCTGTGCAGCCATTACAAAGAATGGGGTCCTCCACTGCCATGACCATTCTTGGACCAACTGCACAACATAACAGCAGCAAATCAAATCAATCATACGCAATACATTGTTGTCTGGGACAATGTGTCTTTCCACCGTTCTGCTCTGGTTCAGAACTGGTTTTAGCAACATCCACATTTTACCATCCTATATCTTCCACCATACTCTCCATTCCTCATCCTTATTGAAGAGTTTTTCTCAGCATGGTGGTGGAAAGTATATGATCTTCATCTCCAAGCTGAGGTACCCCTCATCCAAGCCATGGAGGAGGCCTGTGACCAGATGAAAGTAGCAGCAATACAAGATTCTACATTCAAGACACTTCTTTCCAAGGTGTCTTGCTAAGGAGAACATTGCAATGTTGATAATTCTCATGCCAGATCCAGCTAGGCGAAGAGACAATGTCTAACTTACAGTTCAATACGTAAAGTGACATGTTACAGTACTTTGAATCTTCATGCCAACATGTTGGACATGTTGAGGAATAAATGAGTTTCTTCAGTGTGCAGCATTGTTCTTGAGTAATGTTTGGTGAATTTACTTTATATTTGTACTTTCTTGATGGTAGCCTACTCTAATCATAGTGAAGCAGAAGTGCTAAAAGTGTTTTAGGTTTATCACAGCAGTGTGTAACTCGTGCAAACAGTGTATAGTAAATGTGAAAATGTGTGTTTCTTATGGAAAAAAAGTGTGGTTTTTAAACATAAGTCTATAGTTTTTATAAGAGTGTTTAATTATGCAAAGGATCTGTAGTGTTTTGCTAATTGGGTGTGTGGTTGTGCTAATTGTGTGTACTGTTTTGAAAACACGGGCCCTGTTTTGAAAATCGTGCTTAAGCAATCCAAAAAAACTGTATTAGACCGCTTGTTTATTTTTTTTCCCCAAATTGTTTTTAAGGGAGAGAAGATTTTTTTCAACACATTTCTAAACATAGTAATTTTAATAACTCATTTCTAATAACTGATCTATTTTATCTTTACCATGATGACTGTAAATAATATTTTACTAGATATTTTTAAGACACTTCTATACAGCTTAAAGTGACATTTAAAGGCTTAACTAGGTTAATTAGGTTAACTAGGCAGGTTACGGTAATTAGGCAAGTTATTCTATAATGATGGTTTGTTCTGTAGATTATCGAGAAAAAATATAGCTTAAAGGTGCTACTAATTTTGTCCCTAAAATGGTTCATAAAAAATTCAAAACTGCTTTTATTCTAGCCGAGATAAAACAAATAAGACTTTCTCCAGAAGAAAAAAATATTATCAGACATACTGTGTAAATGTCCTTGCTCTGTTAAACATCATTTGGAAAAAATTTTAAAAAGAAGAAAAAAAATTGAAGGGGGTTAATAATTCTGACCTCAACTGTGTGTATGTATATGTGTATATGTGTGTGTCTATATATATATATATATATATATATATATATATATATATATATATATATATATATATATATATATAGTTAAAAATATTTACTATTTTCCCAAGTGTATATAACTACTACTGTAAGAAAATATCAGAATTTGGTACATACTTTCTGTATTACTATGACAACAATAGAGCACCTTTGAAGTGTGGTGGAACCGGCAGCTGACAAATCTGCAGCAACTGCGAGATGCTATCATTAAAATATTGACCAAATTCTCAGTGAAATATTTCCAGTATCTTGTTGAATCTATGCAATAAAGTATCAAGGCAGTTTTGAAGGCAAAAGGGGTCCAACCCGGTACTAGTAAGGTGTACCTAATAAAGTGGCCAGATACATAGAAAGTAATAAAAAATGTTTAATCTAGTAAGCTGTCATTGTTTAGTCTGTTTTTCAAAGCAATTTTACACAAAGGATTTACACGAGAACGAAGAAATGAGTTGGAGCCCTCTAGGAATTGAGTTTGAGACCATTGCTATAGATATATCCAGATTCTCACTCATACATTTAAATACGTACACCAAAGCAGAAACGCTTTTTTATTTTAATTCATCAATCAACAGTTTATTAAAATCCATTTATTTGAGGAAAAGATTGCCATCACAAATATGTTCAAACAATTAGCATTTTGTAAGTCTATGCACAAGTCCATAAATACAAAAATACAATTTATAGCACTGTTACATGGAATAAAACATTGTGTTCTTGAATACGGGAAATATCGCTACAATCATTATCAAAATTTGAGTCCCTCAAAATATCAACTTACCTCCTTTTGAAATACACAATTGATCTGCGAGTTAAAGATACAGTCCAAGCCATACGGTCAAAATAAGCAATTATTTTGATGCTAAAGTCTTCCAAGATGAAGTTTAGCACAGAGTCAAAGCACAAAGACATTATTAAAGCATACGCCCATAGTATTGCTTTTAAAACAGAAAAAAAACATCATCTGACTTCAGCACATTAATGCAAAGTCCTTCATTAAGATGTTAATCATTCTTTTTGATTGTCTTTTCAAGCTCACACAGTGTTGATCAATGTCTATAATAAGTACACAATTCAAAAAATACTTCATTTCATTTCAACATTGGTCAGACGTAAAAGAGATTTTTCATTTAAGAACTTCAGAAAGTAAGACTCTAGTGTGGATACAAGTGAATATTATGAATCGCCATTACTAGGGAAAAATGTACAATTGAAAAATGCAATCCCCCGGTTTTGTTCAATGACACTCATTTAAAAAGATTCATTAGAGGCTCAATATGCTCTCATACTGACCCAAGTTCAGTTCCTTCAGTTGAATTTCGAATTTTCTCGACTGTTTGAGCGTTTTGACCAGCCAAGCCTCTAAAATTAAGGCACACTGAAAAAAATTATAAAGTTTAGCTAAAGCATTCATATACTGCTTTAATTACAGTCTATTAGTGTCAGTCATAAAAATTCGATAACACAGGGACCCTTCATAAACAATATCTACACCTTTAAAAACTGCTTCAGTCGATATATACAGATAACTGGACGGTACAAAATGGATTACAGAAATAACCACACACACTGGAAAAAATCGATCAATCAATAAACTATGCACACACAATTTAGCATTAAAACAGCTCATAATTAAAGATTATTATCTAAAACCTTCAGAAAACTCACACCCCCTTCACCCACCAACACACGCCGATTTTGAAAGCTGTTGCTGTGAGTTTTAACACAGAGTCACATTCACAAGGTGAAATACCACATTTGGTACCAAACGTAGTGACTAAAGCTGTAGTATTACAAAATAATAATAATAATAATAATAATAATATTAAAATAAATACTGGTGCTACTAACAGTTAACCATTTACTGACATGTTTGATAAGGGAATATAAATATCCCCAGTTTTTGCTCATAAACAAAAATCCTCCTTCCATTTCAGTCAGAAAGTTTACGTAAAGGGATAGTTAACCCAAAAATGAAAATTGCCTCATCCATCTATCTATCTATCTATCTATCTATCTATCTATCTATCTATCTATCTATCTATCTATCTATCTATCTATCTATCTATCTATCTGTCTATCTGTCTGTCTGTCTGTCTGTCTGTCTGTCTGTCTGTCTGTCTGTCTGTCTGTCTGTCTGTCTGTCTGTCTGTCTGTCTATCTAATTTTCATTTATGGGTGAACTATCCCTTTAAGGATGTGTTTACACTTAATGGATTTTGGTCCAACAAATTCTGGTCTAATTTCTCAGTCAATGAAGTTCATTTGAAAAAATATATGAACAAATCCATCGAGACCGCTTAAAAAATGGATCTGAACCCACTTTTAAATGAACGCAGTATAGACTAAATACGACTAAAAGAAAAACAGGACATGATGTCATGTTACAGTTTAAAACGGGGATTGGAAATGCTTCTACTTATAACACTTAGATCTTGGTTTGTTTCTGTGTTGGAGAAATGTTTGCTGCTGTTTTGACATTTTACACATTTTGAAAGGTCTTTATGAGCTCTTATGAGCATACATTACACACAGCATTGTATTGGATGTTCAGAAAAGATCTGTAATAAAAATGTATATTGTACAAAAGCTAGCAAGGACATTTAATGTTTTTATTTATCTATTTATTTATTTATTTATTCAAAGACTGGGTGGAAAAAGTAGACGACATATAAGTTAAATCTAAAGACTGTATTTGAAGCTGCTATCAAGCTATTAAAGTGTTTCTCAGTGGCTTTGATGCACTTTTCACTATTTACATTGCTTTCATACAGCTGTCTGCTGTTTTATGACATCATTTGCTTATGTAATGTCAGTCAAAATGAACTCAACTTGTGAATGCTGAATAGTCATTCCATATAAACATAATAGTCCTCATTTCATTACTTGAGTCATTACATACAAAAATGTTAATCTAGTTGTTAAAATCTGTCAAGTTAATTTTAGAAAAGGATTTGTCCTGAAAATGTCTTAAAAATTGAACAATTTCATGAATGACTTACAGACTTGTGTGTGTAGGTTCAGTTCCAACATGTACTGCAATATTGTTTACAGTTGTGCACAGCTCTGCCCAAAGAAGGTTTATGTTTGTTGTAAATAAGAGTGTGTTTATTCTTTTGCACAATGCTGTGAATAAATTAGGATTGTGAAGAGCAAATGCGGTAAACATGTGAAACATACATATTCAGTGTCTTGTACTCAGATACCTCACTAAATGCAGTGATGTCTAACTTTACTGTAGTTTTGTCAAATGGCTGTGCAAATAGTATACAGTGCTGTCCTGAGCATTTTCAGAAAGTGTCAACAAAATCTGACTTTTTAGCATTAGAAAAACTTCACAGAGTAAACTGTCATCATGAAAACAGGACATCTTGTTCATAAACAATGGTGTCAAGACTTTTCATCTTGATGACTGACTTTTTCATTGACATGAATACCTGCGTTTGAGGAATGAGCTCTCCAGTTTGAGCAAGTGACACACTTTTGCAGGTTATCAACTAGGTTTTGCAGTTATCGTTTTGAGAAAAGCATTAACTGTTGTGCAAATGTAAATAGTGTTGTGAGAAATGCAAAGCCACAGAGTAAAACTAAATATGGGACAGAGATCAATTATAGTACAAGTCACGCAAACTTATTTTATCTATTTACTTATTTAGTTTTAATCTGAGGTAAATTATGCTTTGTTGTTCTCATAATGCGTCTATTAAAGTCACTAAACTTTAGCAAATCTAAAATCTTTCAGAAATTAATCAGTTTTTCCATTCATCACGTTATGGAAAATCAGCTTTTAGGACAGGAAATGTGATAATTGGCTTAAAGTTGGAACACTGTTTCCTGTCAGTCTCTTACATTATCCTGGAGACATTCTGGAGTTTCTGTATAGTTCTTCTGTATAGTGCACTGATTTTTTTTCTGTTGATGTACTGGTGTGCTTAGGGACAGTGAGTACGTTTACATGGACACAAAGAATCCGATTTTAATGCGATTAAGACAATACTCTGATTAAGAGTCGACCATGTAAATAGCAATTTTTGATTCATCTAATCCGGTTATAATTGAACTAAACAGAAATCAGATTAAGACATGAGGAGTATACCTATTTTAATCGCATTATTAAAGTGCAGTACAGACATGTAAACACCACAACCAAACTATTACCATCATGTCTGGTTTTTCATCACATTTTACGACAGGATAATCTATACACACACGGCTGTTTGACACGATTCTTTGCAACTATCGAGTCAGGATCACAGACACCTGCATCACGAAATGCGGAAGTTTTTTTCCATACGGCGTGCGGTATCAAACACCATTAAAACACTCGTCCGGCAGTTCATACTCACATCCAATATCTCGTTTGTCACAGGGGCATGCAAGAAATGTTCCTGAATGAAAGTAAAAGTGCCAAACTACAGTTAAAGTTGACAAATTAAAAATGATGATGACATCCTGAGGAAATGTGGATGGGGCGGTGATGCAATGATGTTAATTGAATTATTTGCTATAACATGTAAAACAGGATCATGAAAGGAACATTCAAAAAGCAGCTCATGTAAACACCTTAATCATAATATTGTCTTATTCAGATTAAGGCAAATAATTTGATTACTGATGTCCATGTAAATGTAGTCATTGTCTTATTAAATGGCCCAGTTTTGGCTAAGCTGTAGCTGTCCCTGCTGAAAAATCCAGCTTAAACCAGCCTAGGCTGGTTGGCTGGTTTTAGCTGGTCCACCAGGCTGGTTTTAGAGGGGTTTTGGCCACTTCCAGGCTGGTTTCCAGCCATTTCCAGCCTAGTCTTAGCTGGTCAGGCTGAAAAATCACCAGCCAAATCCAGCTAAAACCAGCTTGACCAGCCTAGTTTAAGTTGGATATAGCTGGTTTTGGCTGGACTCCCAGCTTGGCTAGGCTGGTCAATCTGGTTTTAGCTGGTCATCTTCCAGCCTGACCAGCTAAGACCAGGCTGGAAATGGCTGGAAACCATCCTGGAAGTGGCCAAAACCCCTCTAAAACCAGCCTGGTCGACCAGCTAAAACCAGCCAACCAGCCTAGGCTGGTTTAATCTGGATTTTTCAGCTGGGGTAGTATGGATGTTGTGTTCACATGACGTCTCCAGACCAACAAATTCCTAAACATTCTGCTGATTATCAGTTCAGGAATTTTATGAGAAGTTCCTGACTTATTTTTGTTTAATGCTGTGTGTTGTTGTTCATTTGAGATTTAATGCAGCTGGAAAAGGTATCCACCACATAATACATATACCAGAGTAGCTGGCGATTCATTCCGCTGTGGCGACCCCTGAAATTTTAGGGACTGAGCTGAAGGAAATTGAGTGAGATTTTATTCTCTGAATTATAAGACCTGCCGAAGATCAGGAGATTAAGACAAGGATTCCATGTCCTGATATGGACATGTGAAATCTAATAGGATGTTCCAGCTTTTTCACAAGACCGTGTGTCATTAAAACACATCAGTTTTTTTTTTTTAGCTTTGGATTCGGATTTTTAAATTGACCCTGTGACTGCTAAACAAACCAAGACTCCAAACCCAATCTTTTTTTGATCAGGACTAAACAAACAAAAAAACAAAACAAACTGCAAGTGTGAACACACCCGAAATCAGCCTACAAATCAGGATTGTTTTTTTGATCTGACACAACGTCCACACAGTTGTGCTGCTTCATACAGGCAGCCGGGAGATGGAGCTAAGCTTAAAAGCCTTCAATCGGTGACTCTCAGCTTCCTCCGTTTTATTGCAGCCATTATTAGCCATTTGGGAGCAGTTCGGGAGCACAGTTTCAGTCAATAATTATCCAGATCATGGTAAGGTAAAGCCCTTAATTAGCAGAAAGATACAGTATTTAACTGAGGATGGCCTGAGGCTGCTGAAGATGCCAGAGGTTTGTTCATCCTGAATAGCCAGTCATCAGACTCCATCACTAAGACATGAAAGCACACACTGCAACATGTGATCTTTACTGTAGCTCAGGCCGAGACTCCACCTCTCCACGAGATGCTGTCCTGGCCCGGATGTACTCGCTGGTCTGCATGGGTCCGTCCCGAGTGTCCCCAAGGCGCCATCGCCGTAATGCCAAAAACGTGTTCAGGGCATACACTGCCATCACCAGGAACCCGAAAATCTGCAGATGAACGACATTAGATATAGCTTTACATTCATATGGACTGTTTTAACGTCAAACAATTCATGTTAAATTAACGGTTTATGCTAAAATACAACTTTGGTTAATCTTTGAAAGAGATGATCCTAAACACTGAGGACTTCGAGGACAACACCTCCACTTAATACACAAATACACTTCATTAAACATGTACACATAGACATCACCTAGTGTATACGCAATAAAATTGCAGGTTAACTGTGTTTATATAATAACTTTGATTGCAACTTTCATTTATTCTAATTGTAATTCAATAATGTGCACCTGATGTAAAGCTGCTTTGAAACAATAGCTACTGTAGAAAGAGCTATACAAACAGCGTTGAACTGAATTGAAACAAAATGCTCACAATGCATTCAAAGTCTGTATCCTGTTGTTTTGGCATTTCAATTCTGTTCTGACATGAATAATCTCTGTATTGTCATAAACTTTTAATATTTATAAATCAAATCAATATTTAATTTGATCATAAATATCTATCAGTAAATTCTGTCCACATAAATACTTTTACACTGATTTAACTTTTGACACCTAATGGTGCTTTAAGCATCCTGAAATGATTAGATCTTTTAAATGTGCAAGAGTATATAATAAAAGAGATGTATTTGGGGTTTTTCAAAGCAATTGCAAAGCTTTCCTCTATTACATTTACCTATTTGTTTGTTTGATTAATTGATTGATTGATTGAGATTTTTTTGGACGTATTCAGGTTCATAACAGACTTAAATGCATCATGAGGGTTTAAAATGTTTTTAAAGAACCTGAGAGATTTCCATCCCACCATTGGAATTCTAAATGACCAAAACCTAAATGATCCCAAAATGTTCACGGAACAAATAAATACTAATGTAGAGCAGGGGTGCTCTAACATATTCTTATAAACGGCCAAAACCAAACTTGACTGAGGGCTGTGGGCTGAAGTTAAATATACCAAACTGTATTACACTCAAGTTTGCCATCAGTAATTTATTCAATTATTCTTTCATTCATTCATTCATTTTCTTTTCGACTTAGTCCTTTTATTAATCTGTGTTTGCCACAGCGGAATGAACCGTCAAGGTATTCAGCATATGTTTTACGCAGCCGAGGCCTTTCCAGCTGCAACCCATCACTGGGAAACATTCAAGTACACTCATTCACACCCATACACTACAGACGATTTAGCCTACCAAATTCCCCTATACCGCATGTTTTTGGACTTGTGGGGGAAACCGAAGCACCCGGAGGAAACCCACGCGTACACGGAGAGAATATGCAACTGACCCAGCCGAGGCTCGAACCAGCGAATTTCTTGCTGTGAGGCGAACGTGCTACCCACTGCGTCACCGTGCAGCCACTTGATTTATTTGCTAATATTTAAAATAACTAGAAAACATTGCTTTAAAACATATAAGTTATTGATGCAGTATCATTTTTTGACATTTTATAATGAACTTAAAATAGTAAACATTCCCAATTATATCACAATGGAGTTCAATACTGAATACACTAGTTAAGCTGCTCACTAATTTGCTCACTTATGTCTTGTGCATTGTCCTCTGTCTGTCAACTGACAGTATTAAAAGTGATTTATTTGCAACATTGTATTGAAACATTAAATTTTTGTAGCAGAAATTATTTGAGCTTATTTGAACAAAGAAACTAAAGGTTATGTTAAATTTGAAATGACAGTCTCTGTCACTGGCATTCGCCCCAACTACCCATCATTTTCCCTCTCTTTTCAGATGGGCTTATGGGTATATTTTCACATGGTTGATAAAACTTCTTCGATTCACATGGATATATTTTTTATCTTTTTTTAGTTTTAAATCTCTCAGATCAACCACTCAGATCACTAAAAATATCTTGGGTTGAAAAAGCATAACAAAGGCTTTACTTTCTTCGTCAGCTAAGGAAGTTTAGCCTTCCATAGGAGCTGCTGAAAGTTCTACACTTCCATCATTGAATCAGTCATCTACTCGTCAATAACTGTCTGGTTTAGCTCAGCGACCACATCTGACCTCCGAAGACTATGTAGAATAGTTCGGACTGCTGAGCGAATCACTGGTACAACCCTCTTTACTCCAAGACTGTAACCCCCTAAGAACTGTACTTATCCAGAAAGAGCAGAAGGACTGCCAAAATCACCCTGGACCCCTCACACCCAGCACACTGTCTCTTTGAACTGTTACCTTCTGGTTGACAATACAGAGCACTGCGCACCAGAACAGCCCAACACAGACACAGTTTCTTCCCCCAGGGAATCCATCTCATGAATACTTGATGATAATAATTGTGGAACATCACTACTTGCTATACACTTTTTATACACATATACACTTATTTAACAACACACTTTACATGACAATTTGCACATAACAGCTGCACATATAATGTTGTATATAGTAATTACATACACTTGTAAATTTGTATATTAGCATTCCCTACTTAATTCTATTTTTAAAATATATTTATTATCTGCTTTTCGTCCTGTCTCTGTAATTCTGTTGCACTGTAGAAGCTCTGCCACAAAAACAAATTCCTCGTATGTGCGAACATACCTGGCGATAAAGCTCTTTCGGATTCTGATTAATTAACCAAATAAGTGTTTATTTCAGTGAGTTTGGAATACCATGAGAGAATTTATTTATTTATTTTATTTATTCTTTTACAGTTTATATAGCATTAAATCTCTTGTATTTATATCCAATGCTATACTATACGCTATCAAATATGTTTTAAAAATAAATGGCAATGGCATCACGGTGGCGCAGTGGGTCGCACGATCACCTCACATCAAGATGGTCACTGGTTCGGCTGGGTTGGTTGGCATTTCTGTGTGGACTTTGCATGTTCTCTCAGTGTTTGCGTGGGTTTCCTCTGAGTGCTCCGGTTCCCCCCACAGTCCAAAGACTTGCGCTATGGGTGAATTGAAAAAGCTAAATTGTCCGTACTGTATTGTATGTGTTGGTGAATGAGAGTGTATGGGTGTTTTCCAGTGATAAGTTGCAGCTGGAAGGGCATCCGCCTCGTAAAAAAGTATGCTGGATAAGTTGGCTGTTCATTCCACCGTGGCGATCCCAAATTAATGAAGGAACTAAGCTGAAAAGAAAATGAAAGTAAATGGCAAGATTAAATGGGCAAGGTTGAAAAAAGCTAATTCTCTCTTCCTCTCTGTCTGACAGGCTGAGAGAGCTGCAGGAATTCAGCAGGGCCCTGTGCTTCAGCAAAACCCCCGGGTGTTAAAGTGGTTTCCCACTGAGAACATCTGTACTATAAAACACTCAGCTAAAATCCACAGCCTCGAGACTTCCAGGGTGTCGCTGGATATTGTGCTGATCTCTGGTTATTCTCCAAATGACTACATTTTAAAAGTCAGGATTAGAGGAAGAGAATCGGAGCCTTGTTTAGCATCGCTAGAAAATTTCCCTTCTACTTTTCGTCACTGAATCATCTGCTAGAAACCTCTTCACAGCCAAAAACGAGAGGTCCAAAAACACACACACTAATGGGAAAGGTATGTGTGTGTGAGATGTTTATGGTGGCTTTGGTTATAATACAGTGTAATGAGCAGGACCAGATGGAAGCAGTAGTACTTTCTTGACTTTTTCTGTGCTTATTTTGGGGGAAAATCAGGAGATTTCTTTGAGGAAACTGTCTGCCTCAAGAGTAAAAAAACGATTTTTTAACAAAGTGCAGGAAATCAAACAGAAGTTTATTTAATATAAGCATATCAATTGCAAGAGGACAGGACAAGACAGTGCTTTTCTTTCTTTCTTTCCTTGTAAACAGATGAGTTTAACAAAAGAACATATAGACGATTAACAATAGGTTGCTTTTACATGACGTCATTAATGTCACGCAAGATTCAGATGGATGGCGGGTCTCTTCTACATACAGTAGGAACTGAAATCAGAATATCAAAATGTTTCTGTTTTGTGTTGCTTATAATTGTTTAAATCAGCCAAAATAATAAATGCTAAACAGCTTTAATAAACTTTTTGCTCACAAAGATGGGAAGCTCAAGAAACTGGCTAAAAAACAGAAGAAAAGACAGCTGTAATAAACATTTAGTCAATACATACATGTGTACACAATAATTTGTTGGACCACCAATAAGGATTATATATAGACCTATATATATATATATATATATATATATATATATATATATATATATATATATATATAAGGTTATGTGTATAAATATTAGGGGGGCAAAAAGTATCGTCCCGTTGTTCTCCACGATTCATGCAGCCCTGCGGTTCAGAATATGCATTATAAATATTGGTTTGTTAATAAAAACAATTGCAACGAAGCAGTACCGCCCTTGTACATTTCCAATTACCTCTCACGCTCATTGCATGTGCGCAGAGGAAGACCTGTCCAACCACCTCTTGGTATGTAAATCTGTTGTTGACATCACGTTTCCTCACGTGTCATGTCGGGAAATTTCAGCTTATTTTCTTAATTTATTTGAACATACAAAAGGCCCTACTTTTATTTAATTAATGCGAGAACATGCAAATCTACAGTCATATGTGTGAAGCTGTTACATTGTCAGGTGTTTGTTAAGTATGTTTATTGTTGACATTTTCATATACTTTTACTATGAGGTAGAAATGGCTTTCCAGAACTTATGTTAAATAGGCTAAAATGAAGCTGAAATACAATCAAATTAGCTCAAATAATGAACCAAAACGAGCACAAGGTTGATGTGTGACTAAATTGTGTGGATCTAGTAAACCGCAACGTGTCCAGGACTCTCTCCAGGAACAGATGTTTTTTTTTTTCAGCCACATGAGGGCAGCAGAGCCACGTGTGATCAGGGCTTAAATCACTTACACTCGACATATGAATTCAGGGACGTGAAATAAAGAGCTGAGTAAGACTGATATTTACCACAGCTGCAATCTCTGCTCCTGACTGATGGTTGAGAGCTGCCAAAACCACTGAAGCCAGAAAGAAGAAAAAGGTGCTGGTGGCAGTGTTGATTAAATCCTGCAAATGCGAGGAAGAGAGAGAATGTGATTATTATATTAACTACAGAACATGCATTACTGTGCAAACTGTGTCCATTAGGCAGAACAACATTTCTAAACTCTCTCACACAAACACGTACATACATACAGTGCTCAGCATAACGGAGTACAGCCCATTTTGAAAATTAATATTTTTCTCCATTCCTCAGTGAACATAGGCAGTGAATGTTTTTGGTGAATTTGAACAAAACAGATTAAACATATATATATATATATATATATATATATATATATATATACACACACACACACACACACACACACACACACACATATATATATATATATATATATATATATATATATATACACACACACACACACACACACACACATATATATATATATATATATATATATATATATATATATATATATATATATATATATATATATATACATACACACACAAACACACACATACATATATATATATATATATATATATATATATATATATATATATATATATATATATATATATATATATATATATATATATAATATTTTTGTCACCAAACATTCAGAAATTGAAAGATAAAACATTTCAATTCAAGCAAAATACAGCAAATTTTTTTAAAAATATAAATTTGACTGTACTTGTTTTTGGACCATTATTGTAAGTTATTTTGTTAGATAAGCTCCAGATTTGGCTTCAGTACTGACTGATCTAATGTATTTGCACAAATATAATATTGTAAAGCTTCCTATTAAAAATATGAATTTAAAAGAGAGATTTGTGAGGGGTGTATGCATATATGCTGAGCACTGTATGCACATGATTGAGTCATTATTTACTCTCCCTCAAGAGGCTCTAAACCAGAGGTGTCCAAAGTAGGGCCCGCAGGCCAAAATTGACTCACTGTAACCTTTGATTTGGCCCACCATCCCATGACAGAATAAAGTGAGAATGAGGGAGACAATTGGAGCATTTTATTGCTAAGCTAAAAAAAAAAAAAAAAAAAACTAAAATTAAATGGTAATTATTCAGATTTTTAAAAATGTAAATACCCTCACTGGACGGATAGAGGACTATGCAGAAGACAACTAAAGGCAAAAACTAAACTATTTCAATTCTGTTACATGGGATTGTTTTTGTTTTTACTTTAAAAAGTTTATTATAAAATGTAAACAATAATTTAACAAAGTAATGTTTTCTAGTTATTTTTAAATCGTATTAAATACATTACCAATATCAAATATATTTACCTCTCGCCCAATACACTCTAATTTGTTTTTTGGTCGTTGATAAGAAAAAGTTTATATATATATAGGGATTTCTAAATCAAAATCTGGGTATTTATTTATTTTTATGTTGATAATTATTCTACATTTCGAATTGTGTTTGTACCTTGACTGATTTAGTTTAGTTAGTTTATTTATAAAGCACAATAAAACAATAGTTGTTGTGTATTGTGCTGTACAATCCTAAAAGCAAATGATCAAAAACAGACAGCAACAGATAAAACAATATATAATACATCAAACATACCACACTGCATCACTGATAAATAACAAGATACTAGATAGGTACAATAGGATCCATTTTTCCCAATTTAAAAGCTCTTTCTTGGAGGTGTAGTTTAAGTTTACCTCTGATTCAAAAATCTATCGGAAATTGTTCTAATGGACATAGGTAGCCCGTTCCACATTTTAGGACCTACAACAGATAAAGCTCGATCTCCTTTTTTCTTCAATTTGGATTTGGGAACAACAAGCATTTTCTTGTTCGATGACCTTAAACATCTGACAGATAATTTAACAGTAATAAGATTAAAGAGATAAGTCAGAGCCTGGCCATTTAATAACTTGATAACATACATCAAAATTAAATTTCAATTCTAAAACATATCGGCAACCCATTTAGGGAGCACAGGATAGAAGTAATGAGTTCAAACTTGCAGGTGCCTATAAAAACCCTATAGCGGCTGCATTTTGGAACACTTGAAGATAATGTATATAGGACTGGCCAACACCCACAAAAACTGTACAGTAGTCCAACCGTGATGATATAAAGGCATGGAATAATCTCTCGAATTCCACACGAACAAAAAAAGTCTTTCACTTTGGCTAATAATCTTAACTTGAAAAAACAAGATTTAAATACTGCATTTACCTGTTTGTCAAATAGAAGGGCGGAAACCAGGAGAAAACCTAGATTTATTTTAAGTTAATAGTTTACAATAAAATCAATAGCAATACTAAGCTCAAATCCTATATATAAATATTCTTTCCAGTGACATTCTGAATATACACAGAGTGTAACAGCTTGTCTGTGCAAAGTTGCAGACAGCAAATGTCCAGTAAGTAACACAGCTCAGAGAACTGCATGCTAATCAAAACTCTATAAACTTCATACTTTATAAGAACCACACACAGCATTTAGTAGTCCCACATGCAAACACAATCTTTAAATATGTCTGTGTGCAAGCTTGTGTTCTAGACTACACACAGACTTTTATTTGGTAACTTTAATATGGTCATAAAGTCATTCATTTACAGTCATGAGGTGATGGTTGAGGATTGGCAGAGATATGTGAATCTCTTTCTCCTGCTATGACAGTTTTCCCTCCCCCTACTATTAATCCACCCACCATATTTAACGATAACGTCACAGTTTACAGTTTTAAAACGTTCACAAATCAAACTGAAGGCTTTGAGGAGCGAGTGTGGATGAGCCGAGCCAGTTGGAGACTCTGAAAGGAGGCCAGATCCTCCTGCAGCTACTTCTCCTGTGTCTGCAATGGATGAGGCTTGTGCTGTGGCTCAGTGGGGGGTGAAATGTTACAAGCTCTTCAAAGCACATCCCAAACTGAACCTCACTGACTGGCACCACAGATTTCACATCACAGGCCGACGCGGAGCGAGCCGCTGACTTTGAAGTCTCCAGGAGGAACACAGACTGTCTGCTCTCGGCTTTAGGCAGTAGACGCTGGTGGACAGCAGGAAGAGGAAAGAGAATTACCTTGTGTGATATGGGCACTAATGTTCTCCTAAATAGCACAGAAGTGTTTTCACTGAAAACCTATGCACAAAGAGAAACTTTTACTAAAGTGTTCAGCTGAGAGTAAGGGCAAGGTTGACCTCTTTGCTTTGTGTGATATCAGCATGATAACTAACTATGCATACAATGATTGGTAGATGGGGAGGAGCGGAGTCTTTGCCGTACTCACACTATGTACAGTTGCCTCGAACCGGGCCAAAGCACGCTTGAGGAGGTCTGCTGAAGGTGCGCAGCTGTCGTGCAGTGAGGGGTTTGCGTATTTAATACACAGCGGCAGTTTGTGTTCACTGAACAGTAAGAATGATTAATAAATCCATATGAAACAGTCCCTTAAAAGTTACGTCTCGCTTTCAGTTTCGGGCTGAAAGCCCAAGTGAACCGTGCTCAGGCCCACCTCTTCCAACCGGGCCAGGGCCGGCCAAGTGAACCGTGCTTGAGCCCGATTCAGCGCACTCACACTTCTCAAACAATCCATGAAACGGGCCTGGGCACGGTATAGATGGCGTTGTGTGAGTAGGCCGTTTGTCAGAGATTAGGGCCCCATTTACACTGATATGTTTTTGTTTTAAAACAGCATTTAAGAATAAAAACATTTAGAATTATGCAGCTACACGATGCTTCAAGAGTTTTGGTGTCAGTAAAGTTGCTAATATTAAAATAAAAATAGGCAGTTCCTTATGACATGTTTTCTTTTTATTGTTAAGATAGTGAAACAGCATAGCCAGAGTCATATGAATGAGGTTTTAAAGTACCCTGTTCCCTTTGAAGATTTACCTGACGTGTCCCCGGGAGTTTGTTTTCTATATCAAACTTGCAAAGTCTGAACTTACAAGGAGAGGATGCAGGACTGAAATGTGTGTAGACTACTTAATATTGAGGAAAAAGCCCCAATCAGAAAAATGTTTGTAGCCACGCCTCCGTTTTCTGATGTCTCCGTTTACCCCCATCCACACTGAGATGGAGCAACAGCGTTTTAAAACCAAAACGGCCTCTCCAGCATTTTCAAAACACTCCATTTTCGGGGCTCGAAAACTCCGGCGTAGTGTGGACAGATGGCGTAACCACAGCAAAACTTATGCGTTTTAAAACTAAAACGTATTAGTGTAAACGGGGTCTAATTCATGGAACTATAGTGCAATATTATAGATCATTTTGAGGGATGTACACAAAAACAATGTATTTCTTGTTTTACATTTTTAATTTCTACAGCTTCTGAGAATCCAGAAAGAGCCACATATTCATAAATAATGTTATGATAGCTGTTTTAACATTGACCGCGCATTCACACGAGGCTTCATCGTTAACGCTTGACTGAGGGCATTTTTGAAGTTGACACGATCATCATAGCAGTGTCAGCCAATGAAATTAGTCTGCAATCGGCTACTGTCTGACCTGGGGTATTTGCATAAAGCGATCTGAGTGGCTGACTTTTCCCATGACGCTTGAAAAGTTGAGAAATTCCCAGCTTCTGCAGTGAGTAATGCCGCTGAATCAGCACTGACGGATGGACAATTCAGTTCGGCAACCCATTCAAGTGAGTTATGATCGAACTGACTCCTATTACAGTTATGAAATACTTGGACAACAAGCAGGAAATGTTCATGGGCCAATGGCATGTCCACATTGAAATATTCTATACTGCCACATTCAAATAAATAATTTGTCGCTTGTTTTTAATGTTTTGGGTAATGCATTACAGTAATGTGAGTTTTGTCATGATTTCGGCACAATTTCCTTGACGTAGGGTGTCATGGGGAATAATAAATCACGAATGGGCATTGTGACAGAAGATTTCTCGTTTCTTCTAGTGTAATGTGGCATTATTCAAGACAACCAATAGTGTGTCTGTGACGCCTCACGACACCATCGCAGAAAATCTAGCATGTTTAATTTTCTTTCCCATTCCTCACGATGAGTTCCGTCACGTGGGTGACACTGGGCAATAAAAGTACATC